GTTGACGGAAACTCGGCGACTGCGCCTACCTGATGATTATCGAAAACACTCGGTTTTCATTCACGTTGCCGGCATTCAACCTTACGATATACAGTCATCAGGCATGTCCGTCGCGATTCAACGGACAAGCAGTGAAGATTGTGGAGAGTTTCACGTGACCCAGGACTGACGCTCTGACGACTGTTTCCAAAGGAATCAATGCACGAATCCTGGGAAACCGATTCATTTCCGGTGAATTGTTTCATTTGCGACGCAAAAAAACGTTTTCTCATCTCAATGACCGCGTGTTCAATAAATGTACTGGTGTATATTATGAAACATGGCCTTTACTGCGGGATAATCTGCAGTGAATTCAGGTTTCCGATCACCGAAGTCCCAGTAACAATACACTCGCTGTCACAGAGTAATTTGGAAACGGGTGTTCTCTTGCCGAACAGGTACTGCAGTAGCGGAAAGTACCCAGCACTGCTATGCGGTACGCATGTCATCACATTGTCTACCGAGACTCCTTTGGAGTGTTGCAAACTGTGAGCTGTAGCAGAAGAGCCGGGAAGGGTTTAGGAATAGGTTAGGAGTCAGCAGTACTTTGCGTCTCCTATGATCGTTTCATTCGGACCCTCTGTGTTTGACCAGAGACACTAGCGGCTAGCCGATTTGAGCGGGGTCTGCGGCATCTGCTTCCGTCAAGATTGATTTATGATTCGGAGGTTTATGTACGCCGGTGTTACTGCGAATCCTAGCACCGATCCCTTCGCCTCTCCACTGCAAATAAACAAATGAACTTTGTTCTTGAGCGGCGTTGGACTGTCAGTGTCAAAACGAACTTAGATTTTTTTTATAATGACGATGATACTATTGGAACTGCCCACCGTCATCAGTGGACAGTTTGAACAACCAGTTTGTTGTATTTTATTTAATTACCCTGAGTCAGAAAGATTGACAACAATCGTTCAGCTGTAAAATCCTTTCCCTGCATAGCTACCAAGGTTTTCGAAGGAAACAGGAGAGCTGTTTACCCAAGCCTTAACAGGAGTACCTGAGCTGTCGGGGTTGGTTTCGAACAACGGACCTTCTGGTCCGTATGCTCGCCTCCTCATCACTGAGCATCTTGAGCAGCTGGGTATACTTTAGTATAAACAAATGAACTTTGTTCTTGAGCGGCGTTGGACTGTCAGTGTCAAAACGAACTTAGATTTTTTTTATAATGACGATGATACTATTGGAACTGCCCACCGTCATCAGTGGACAGTTTGAACAACCAGTTTGTTGTATTTTATTTAATTACCCTGAGTCAGAAAGATTGACAACAATCGTTCAGCTGTAAAATCCTTTCCCTGCATAGCTACCAAGGTTTTCGAAGGAAACAGGAGAGCTGTTTACCCAAGCCTTAACAGGAGTACCTGAGCTGTCGGGGTTGGTTTCGAACAACGGACCTTCTGGTCCGTATGCTCGCCTCCTCATCACTGAGCATCTTGAGCAGTTGGGTATACTTTAGTTCTAATTCTGGGGGCGAGATGGCCAAAGTGGTTAGAGCGCGAATTTACTGACCGGAAGGTCCGCGGTTCGAACTCGACTTCTCCTGTCTAGGCTTGGGCAACCTGGCAGTATCCCAGTCCATGTGCAACCTTCGGGTGGCGTGGCAGTTGCGCACAGAAAAAGTGCTACAGCGGAACGATTTTTTTAGTCCTAATTCAATATTTTTTCGGGTCGAAATAGTTATCATCCTTTGAGGAGCGCAGACATCATTCCATAATGTCCTGCATGTATGCGCATATTCTTGCATTTCTTCGTTTGGATTGTTCAGTCAGCGTGTTTCGTAACGGTAGCTACAATCTGTTGAATTCTGGATTGTCTCTCTTCAAATTTTCATATATGGATTTCTGGGTGTGGCCGGTCAAAAGTCCTAGGATCCGGCAGTCAGCAGTGTACTTTTCTTCCGGCATTGCCGACTTAGTTTCCGCATCCCCAAGCGTCGTACCTTAAGTAACACAACCAGCCCGGTGACTGATATCCTTTTCTTTATGAAATCATCAGGGCTATCTAAAAACGTTTCTCCGTAATATCGTCTCATGACATTCAGGGTGATACGACTCCCCAGGTCATTATTTCTCAAAAGTACTTACGATTCATCTGATGACCTTGTCCTGACTTTCAGTACCTGTTTTAGGAGACACGGTCAGAACCGTTGTTGTACGTGGCACTCACTGCTTTTCAGCCTTAACTTATTCCAACCTACTATCTGAATAAAATATTTTTAGTTCTCTTCACAGGAATTTTCCACCTAGTTTTTTATCCCTTCCTCGGTTGAAAATCGGTTTGATCGATTCCAAGGCTATGAATGGTTTTCGGTAGTCTACACCTTTATCGACACTGTTCTTTCCCGCGGGTACTTAATCTCGTTGAGGCTCAGACGGCGCTGAGTTTCGCGCCGTACCCTAGCGACTGATTTGTAATGTGCTCGGTAGATTATCATCGAAGCTGATCGATACAACACATCCTGGGATCACTCAGTAAGTGGGCTATGCCAGGTCATCGTTTCCAAGGTTTGTTCAGACGGTTGTAATCGCAATTCGTGGTCAGTACGAAACTTAACGTGTGTCTTTAGTATTGCGCGCACTTTCTATGAGAAATACAATTGATCGATGCTCAGAGTAGTGCTTCTAGATAAACGAATTCAGAATGTCCCAAGGTCATTCCAAACGATTACAAGGTGACACACCAGGTTGAAGAAGTAGTCATGCCCGGGGACACCATGTATTCTCATTAGTTCACGATAATTTTTGCTAGAGTTTTTCTTGAAGTTGGGCACAGTGCTGGTCTGCCTTGGTTCCACGGTTAAACCTCCCAAAACCACTTTTCCACGTTTTAACAGTGTCTTCCTTGGTTTGACCAGACAAAACATTTGACAGAGACTTGCCAGAGATGCTTACAAAATGTCTCGGTTGCTCTATCCTGTCTTTGTAAGATACGAGCTCTGGATAGCTCAGTAAATAAGGCGCGAACCTACTGACCGGAGGGTCCGTAGTTCGAACCCAACTTCAGCCTATCGACTGCTCCTGTCCAGGCTTAGGAAACCTGACAACACCTCATCCCTTAAAACTCCTTCAGCCGGTATGGCAGCTAGACACGGAACGACATCTGAACGACTGTTGATTGTTGTCGTTGTTGTAACACACGTAAAATTGATTATTCCGCAAGTAGACAGTCAGCTCCGATGAGTAACCATCAGAGCAACTATTCTGATGTCACAACACAGAATTGATTAGTGACATGAGTAGGTTTCATCCACGAACTGGCAATCACTGGTGCTTTCTCGCTCAGTCATAAGACACTCTAGTTCATTCATAAAGTGGTACCTAGCTGCCATGCCACCCGAAGGAAGCACGAAGGCTGAGATACTGCCAGGTTGCCCAAGTCGAGATGCAGAGGTGAGGTTTGAACCACGAACCTTCCGGCAAGCAAATTCGCGCTCTAACCACTGAGCCGTCTTGCTATCCGTCTCATACTGAGAGATCACTCTGTACCGAGCATCATCACTCCCGAAAAGAAAGGGTGGCTGGTCGATCCCAGCAGCATTTCGTGCGCAATATTTTGAGTTTACAAACATGGTGAAACTTGTGTGTCCACGCAGTGGCCAATCTGGAGGATATTGGAACCTCGGGTATGCTTTAGGTGGCTTGAGATGGCTCACTGGTTGAGGCGCGAACTTACTGACCGGAAGGTTTGTCGTTTGAACCCGACCTCTGCACTTCGACCGCTTCTATCTAGGCTTGAGAAACCTACAGTATCTCGGCCCTCTTGCTTCTTTTGGGGGACGTGGCAACGATGTACCGAAAGGGTGCTATTGCTGGACCATATGCTTTCGATTCCGTTCATCTTGCAGCTGGAAACACAGTCCTCTTGGCTGGCGCGTTAATATTGGATTTGTTTTCATAGTCGCAAACGCAAAACCTTTTACGTGCTCGGATAAATCGCATTGTAACTCAAATGTTTCACCAAATAGACGGAATAATGCATTGTCTTTCAGAGACACTGGGGGTCAGTCGCGCGACGTCTGGATAGGTTTTTTCACACCGCAGCTGCGGTGACCTGTGTCACGTCACTTATGTGATCTCTTGATATTTTCCGAATGTATTACCACTGGTTTATCCTCGCAATAGACCATCCACGCAAAAATTAAACCAGAACTGAAGCTCGCCGATTGACAAATAGCTTTGAGACAGATCACATGTTGGATCCAGTCCAACATGTAACCATGTGATTTACTAACAAATTTAAGATGTTTGGCTTTCATGGTCAAAATATCAACATCTTACATCGTGTGCATTCGTTGTCTATTTGTTAAGCATTTGTCGTCGTTCAAACTGACTTCCCTTTTTGAGGTCATTCATTTTTCACCTGAAATTGAGTTATGCCTGGTTTCAGCACCCTCATCAGTATGACCAGGAACGATCCTATTGAGGTCCCACAAGTGGATTGTGCGGTATCCAGGGCCCTTGGCAGTCAGATTTGTTTAGAAGTTCTTCTTATGGTCTGAAATCAGAAAGTGCTGTGATGCAAGTTGCATCAAGCGATATCGAGGGCAACTTGTAGCCAATTCTGCTGCGTCCTCCCGAAGGCAAAACTCGCTGTTTGTCGATTTTCAGGGTGCTTTGGAGCTGTCGAACATGATAGATTTGATTCGAGAATTCTTTCTTTTTCTCTCCGTACATAAACGAGTCTTCTTTCTCCATCTTGTTGCAGTTGGGCTTGCGATATGGTATTCCTGTTCATGTGGACTGCTGCCTTGGCGGATTCCTGCTTCCGTTCATGGAGGCAGCAGACTGTGAGTTGGAACCGTTCGACTTCCGGTTACCCGGTGTCACTAGCATCTCTTGTGATACACATAAAGTGAGTATTGGACGCTCCGTTTCAAAGTCGCATTAAGTATCTGGCGAATGATGACGGTTTTGAGGTTTGCTCATCGGATCACGCTGTATAAGAGGGCGACAGGTTGAACGATTCGTCGATTTAAATCCCTAATCGGATTAGAGCACTGGAGCAGCACTGGTCACATTGGGTGAGGTTCACAACTCGAGTAATTTGTCTATAAGGTTATACAATATGGGGTTACGTAATCCGGTCGATATCGCCTAGACCTTGTCTAGACCGTAACGGGTTGTTCGCCTTCGGTAAATTGATTGGTATCCCGGAGCTACGTATAAGTGAAACCCCCAGGTTAGTCACACTTTCCATCAGGACTAGGCATGTTTCCACAGTGCCTGTAAGTGAGCTTTAGTCTCACCGTCTTACAATTGAAGAACTGCTTTGCCGTTCGCCAGACCAACGGATAAAATACCGTACTTTGGAAGTGGACCGGTTAGTTATCCTTGAGACGCATGTTTATTCGTGTAGTAATTTGTAAGCTATTCTGCCGTGTCTCTACCTGACTAGAAAGTTCTGACAGACGGATCATTCAATTAACATCACGAGGGCAGTTGCGAGATTGTCGTTCGTCGCATCGGAAGCGTGAACACGGTCCCTTATTCAGACAAAAATCCAGTTTCCAAATAAGTAGGCCTTCTGATCCTCCTACCGTAATCACCAGAATTCCCGACTGGAGCAGGTTCTTTCGCCGTTTGCTGATGTCCGCGGATTTGGTGCCAGGTGTATCACGGGTGGATCGCACTTTGAGGACAGTAGCTTGAGCAAATGAATAATAAAATAATAATCGTTCAGTTGTGGCACCCTTTCGGTGCCTAGCTGCCATGCCACACGAAGGAGGCACGAGGGCTGGGATACTGCCATGTCGCCCAAGCCTAGACAGGAGAAGTCGAGTGGCAGAGGTCGGGTTCGAACCACGGACCTTCCGATCAGTAAATTCGCGTTCTAACCACTTGAGCCATCTCTTTTGAGTCATTATCCATTGATATATCGGGTCTCAATCCGTAAGAGGCATCAGCTGTTTCTGGTTATGGCCTTCAGGACAAGGTCGTTTGGGGAAGTTGGTTTACCATCTATCCACTTGTATGGATGCCTGTGGCGTTTATCATCCCCTACCCCGCATAAAAGTAGAGAAAGTGTGCGCAGGTATATCAGTTAGGATTGCACGGGTGCTATACCGGGCGTCGCATCATAATTCATCCATCCTCGGTTCCAGACAAGTTCCAGATAACTACTGAATTGAACCGCAAGAGACAGCAAATAAACTTCCTGTTTATGAAGTTACAACTTAAATGTCACGGACGGCGCAACATACGTGTCTAACTCTCATAGTTCGCTGCCGTGTGACTTGGTATTACACTAGTTCTACTCGGAGGAATCATGATTGTATGCGGGCTGGGACGATTAGGCTACCCAACAGAAGTCAAAAACCTGACCACAGGGTAGCACTGTTTACGTAAAATGTCACTGAGTTACGTTTTCTTGAAGAACAAGTTGTTACGCAACCTGGTGGACCGTTGAGCAACCTGGCATGAGAGACTTGGTGGCTGTCACACAGACTCCCCGATGTATATCCGTTGGGTCACACACAAACCGTCGTGACGGGAACTTACAAAATCCCGAAAGTCGCATTCTTATGGGACACATTGACTGCATATTTGCATTTCAAAAGGATGTTTTCCAACATCTCCGTTCTTCCTTTTCCAACCATACAGTACGGATTCGCAGCCAAAGGGACTTCTGTGATCATGTACCGTAACAAACATTACCGTTCCAAACAATTCTTCACTCAACCCAATTGGCCTGGAGGTGTTTATGCTTCTGCAACATTTGCCGGTAAGTCTGGATCCACTCGCATTCTGGGTTATCACGCTTAGATCTATGTGGAACGTGGCGTCTTGCATGCGTAAACTTTGATATTGAGTCGAAATCGATTGCTAGTTGTTACCAACACCCTTCGTTTTTTGAGTAAATCATTGGCGTTGCTAGTTCGGGGTGCTTCTTGCAGGAGTGAGAATCTTGCTAGGCAAAAGATGCACCCGGCACGTAGCGTGCATCCGAAGTGGTCCGGAAAGCAAAAATGTACTTTTCTTGTGTCTTTTTTCATTAGATTTATCAAAAACGTCGACTAGCAATCCTAGTAAAGTGACAAACCCACCTTAGATCTTCTTGGAACTGTTGCTTCGATAAAATCAGAGTTTTGATGCGGTTCGCAAACTCAAGTCTAATGGAGGGGAGATTAATCAATCATCAGTCTGCAATAAGACCGCCATATTACACTACCCCTTTCCTGAGAAACCTTCTGCAGGAGGAATCATGAAATCAAGGAATTTCTTCCGTAACTTCACCTTACCAAACAATACATTCTCCTAGAACCAGAAACGTTCGATGAATGTTTGTACATTGATAATTCAGTTTTCCACACTGGGCAATTGGCTGTCACCACGCAAGGAGACATCGTGAGTACACGGCCGTGTGGGCAATCCTTCCACTTCTGCTGGCGTTTATATAGCGTCTGAAAATTGTTTGGTGTTCGAATGGTGATTGGTTGTTTGACAATTTCGTCCAGCCATTTGGAGTTCCTATTGCGTTGTGGTCCGACTCTGTTGCATTTGGTTGGTTCGCCAATTGCGCATTCCAGACTGCGCATCGGACCATAGTTTACTCAACCCAATTTTCAGACAACCGACCACGATGAAGATATCAAAAGCTCTTCAGGAACTATGTAATAAAAAGCAGAAATGAAGGAATTATCTACCCAACCGCGCCTCCACGGTGTCTCCTCATATGAGGAAGAAACGTCTGCAAGTTAACTGCGAAACTAGGCGAATAGATCAAATGTCAGATGATCAACGACTAACAACGCACTGGACTCAGTATTTAAGGACTTTCTGATACTTCTGAAAGTTTTTATTCGTTTGTTGGGGGCGAGATGGCCCAAGTGGGTAGAGCGCGAATTTACTGACCGCGGTTCGAACCCGACTTCCGCCACTCGACTTCTGTCTAGGCTTGGGCAACCTGGCAGTATCCCAGCCCTCGTGCTTCCTTCGGGTGGCATGTCAGCTAGGCAGCGAAAGAGTGCTACAGCTGAACGATTTTTTCGTTGGCAAAGAATCTTGTTTTCTGGCCTCTGTTTCCGCTTTGTTGAGTATCATTCACTCGTTCGTGAGGTCCTCGATGTAGCGGTCGGGTAGGCAGTGGTCATGTATGGGAAAGCATATTGTTCAAGATGAAGCGGAACATTCAATCGCATCGGGAGAAAATCTGTCTTCACATTCGTTTGGATATGAGGTCTGTTAATCTACATCGTGGGTCCTGCCGTACCTTTCAATGCTGCAGAGCTAAATAGCTGATAGAGCTGCTATTTGGTTGTCGGTTCAACCTCGAATTTCTCTCCAGACCGACTGAACCGTTTATCCTGCTCTAGCAGATATCAGGTCTATCCACACAGCCCTGATGACGAAAATTATCACCGCCCGCATTCCTCATGTTTAGTTCTATTGTCTGTTGCCGCTTCAGGTGTTCATACTCTCAGCGCGTTGTTGGTTAATTCGGTTGCAAAAATCAACCATCGTTTCAACCCTTTGTTTACGTAACTCGCATGTTTTACGTCACTGACTAAGGAGAAATATCAACACATCGGTATTTATCAAATGTATTTGCTCACGTTCCAATGACGCATAGTTTGGCGCGGTTCCAAGGGGACAACTGCTCGAACTAGGTTGATTTAAGGAACTGTTTCCAACAGTGAATCGTCATCCATCCTCCGGCGTGGGAATATTTATACTCTAACCGCACTCAATCTCGGTTCCAAATACACCCTTGTTCACTCGGTAGACTGTTCTAGCTGAGTTCGAGAAATACACTCGTTTGCAAATCAATGTGGTTTTCACGAGAGACTTAACTGAATCTCTCGTTTATGA